GTGAAGGTCGTTTTTCCACACTCTAATCTCTCAGAAGTTAGCATGTGGGGATACGTTCGTTCATCCAGCACAAAGGGAACGGGTTGCAAGAGAAATACTTACTCTGGTTTCTGTGTCTATTCCCTCGTGCCAGTTTGAAGTTCCTGCAGTTTTCATTGTAAAACCGAGTTGGAGCTTTTACCTCCCCATATGTATGTATGCAGTGGTGTGTCCAACTGAAAAGTAACTTTGTGTTCCCATCAAGCTAGTTGTTTGATGGCTTTCACACACATTCAACTCTCAGAATTGAACATGTGTAGAGGCGTTCATTCATGTAGCATAAATGAATTTTGTAGTATTAGAAACACTTACTGCGATTTCTAAGTATGTTTCTAATGCCGGGTGAATTTCATGCATTTTTCATTGTAAAACCATGTTTGAGCTACTACCTATCCATATATATATATGTAGTTTATTTCCACACTCTAAAGAAAATTTGTGTTCCTTGCAAGTTATATCATTGACCGATTACACTCACATTCAACTCTCAAAATTGAGCATATGGAGACGTGTGCGTTAATGCAGCATAAAGGGTTTGAGGAGCCATAGAATCACTTAATGTGATTTCTCAGTATTTTTTTAAGTGTCAGTTTCAAGTTCATGCAGTTTTCTCTTTTAATCCGGTTTGGAGCTTGTAACTCCCCATATATATTTATGTTGTGTATTTTCCCACTGAATAGAAACTGTGTGTTCCCAACAAGCTAGGTGATTGACTGCTTTCACACACACTCAACTGTCAGAATGGAGCATGTTGAGACGTGTTCGTTCATCTAGGATAAATGGAATTTTAAAGCTATGATCATATCCTATGTTGGTACGAAAACAGTAAAGGGAGCATTAATTTACAGCCTGAATATTTATGGTCAGCGTACATGACAGAATTTCATTTTCAGCAGTAGATTTCTTTGTTTTAAGGTTCAGAAAACTTAATTATTTCCTGTAACTGGACATAGATAGTGAATGTCTTAAATTCTTTGAGCAACTGCTTTCAAGTATAATTATTACTTTTCTTTTGGTCTTTAACCTAAGGGAATATCCAGAATTCCAGCAGCAGTTCAAAAGCAAGGGCCTGAACCTTGCCTATTACTTGTTTTAAGTACAGTAAGAAAAATTGTAGACTATTGTACTGTGGATAACTGAAGGGCTGTTTGGATATGTTATATGTAAGTTATATTTTCAAAAATTATACATATCATGAAAATCAATCTTGGTGATCTATTTGGTATAATTTAATCTTTAATAATGTAGATTTTGATAGCCCTTTTGTTTATGTAACTGTTATGAAAATAAGTTTGCTTTATATAATTATTTTCTAGATAAATGATGAAATATTGTATTTTTTATCATTTGCTTCTTAAAAATAAGATATTAATTTCACAGTATGTATTTTCCTTCAAGTTCATACTTTTTTCCCTAAACTATCTTGACTTGTTTAGGTAAGTTAACCCATAGTCTGATTTATTTTAAACACTCAGTATGTGCTTCTGTTGGTTGCTTTATTAGAGAGCAAGAATTCCTTATTATATTTAATAAAATATTCTTGCAGGAAACTATACTGGGATTCTTTCATTAACAGAGTCAAGCAATTACTCTCTGTTTTGTTAGATCAGGTGTCTAAGCCTCTCAAAATCCAAAATATTACATGGAAAAAGTTAAAAATGCCATAAATGATCGACTAACAAAGTTTATTGTGTTCCTTCATTAAAAGTATAAATATGGGTCAGTCTTTAATTCGGATGTAAAGCTCTTATGAATTACATGACTCTTCTCCAAAATTCTTTTTTTAAACATTTTTTATTGATTTATAATCATTTTACAATATTGTGTCAAATTCCAGTGTTCAGCACAATTTTTCAGTCATTCATGGACATATACACACTCCTTATCAAATTTTTTTCTCTGTGAGTCATCAGAACATTTTGTATATATTTCCCTGCAAAATTCTTTAGTTTGGGCTTTAAACCCTCCAGTAAAAAACTGGTTTGTAGGAAGAAGAAAGTCGAGAATAGATTCAATCCAAATTCTATGGGAATAAACAAAGCTAAATATTTTCAGTCATTTTTTGAAGCAGAACATATATGTTTTCTGCACCATATGATTTTAATAGTATTCATCTGAAGATACAGTTTAGACACCATGAGACCACAAGCCAACAAACAAGATCTCAGGCAAAGCACGAAAAACAACTGAAGGGATTTTCTGCTGCAAAATTTCTCCTAACTAAAACTGTAATCGAGAACAAATCTGATGCCATATTGGATCTGTTCCTTTAGTTTGAAACACTGTGTCCTGTTTTCCAGGCTTAATCTTGCTGGCTCTGCACCTTTAAAAACAACATTGCCTTTAGCCTAAAACCTACAGGAAAGCCTATTCTCGGGGCTATGACCTTCAAGGATGTTAGCACTTCTGCATTTACGCAGGGATGGCAAGTTGCAAAATAGAGAATAACCTTTTTTTTTTGGAGGTTTACAGGGACACCACAGCCTGACCCACATGGATGACTGCAGGAACAAAGAATGCCTGCAACAAGAAGTTTGCACAGCCAACCACACCCCCTCCCCTTTTTAGCTTAAAAGGAGCCTGAATTCTGACTTTGGCAAGATGATTCTCCAGGACATTAGTCCCCTATCTTCTTGGTCTGCCAGCTTTCTGAATAAAGTTACTATTCCTTGCTCCAAAACCTTGTGTCCTGATTTATTTTTTTATCACTGTTGTGCAGCGAGCAGAATAAGTTTGGCCTCGGTAACAGAACCAGCTTTGTCATTCCGTCTGATGTGAAATCTCTCTGGGTGTACACGTGCTTGCCTGGTGTGGTGCTGGTGGTGGTGATGGTAGGCAAAGATATTTCACATCTCCTGATTTCAATAGGCTAAAATTTCCTGCTATGTAAGTCAACTCTAGACTTTTACAGAATCACCTGCAGATGTGCTTCTGGAAGCTACAAAAATTCCAACAA